TCAGTTCGTGGACGACAATACCCATGGGGTGTTGTTGAAGGTTTTTTATCCTGTTCAATTTAGATATTATTTAACTTGAATGAAAAATTTTTTTATTAATATAATAATTATAATTATTTTGTAGTTGATGACCCACAACATTCTGATTTTGCCAGATTAAGATCAGCCCTTTTAAGGTAGTTACGTTTTAAAATTTTTTTTTTTTTTTTTTTGATTTTGACTTTGTTAATCGTTTTATGTTTATCCTATATTTATAGTTCTCATTTACAAGATTTAAAGGAGATCACACATGATTTCTTATACGAAAATTATCGTACAGAGAAACTTAGTAGAAGTGCTGATAATACTACCCCTGAGTATATATCCATAGATTATTGTATTAAACACCGAGCTATATATGTTAATTAATAATTTTAATATTTTCTTTATTATTGTAGGGATGCCAATATCTTGCCTGATGATCTCGCTACTCAAGGTGTACGAATAAAGGAAGAACAATTGAAACGTGAAGAAGAGAAGGTAAATGATACACGCTTTTTAAATGGAAACAAATTATTATCAATTTGCATTTATTTATTTCATAAAACATTTTCAAATATGCTCTTTAGTTGAGGGAAATTGAATTAAAGGTTCAACGGGAAATCTCTGAAAAAAGACAGGAACTTTTAGCTAAAGAAGAAGCTTTGAGGAATTTAGAAGCACGATTAGCACAAGCTCAAGATTATTAACATTCCATTTTTTTTTTTAAAAAAAAAATAAACATTTACATTTTATTATAATACACTAATAATCATCACATAACAATATTATTATAGATTGATAGAATGTTGATATAATAAAATTAATATATTAATTTTATCATTAAGTCTATCCACTATTGAAATATTGTTTTACGAAAGATAATTAAAAAAAAATTTTTTTTGATACAATTTTTTTTACTAATTTTACAATGATATATATATATTTTTTTGTTAAAATTTTCTTTGACATCCCAAATGAGGGATACAATAAAAATGCCGTAACCTAATATAAGGTTCTATGAACCAAGGTAATGTTAAAGTTAATATAAAATTCCAAATTATAAATCCTATCACCTTTTTTATAATAAATAATATCTTTTTTGATTTCTTTAAATCAATTTTTTCTTCAGGTTTTATTTTTTCATAATATAACCTCCAATATCTATTAAACAATTTTTCTAATATATCCCAAATTATCATTATCAATGCATGTATTAAAAAAAATGAAAAATGTTCACCTTTACTATTATTCCACCCAAATAAACCTATAAATAAATATTCATGTAATATACCACTCCAAAGAAAACTACCTAAAATAGCTAAAGCTCTTGAAATTTCATTATTAATAATAAATGTTGATAATAAAATTTTTTTAGAAATTTGATCATTCTTTAAAATTTCTTCATCTTTTTGAATTTTTTTACTCTTTAATATTTTATAACCTAATAAAGAACCAAAATTTCGAAGTAATATTAAATGAAATTTTTCAATAGAATTAATATAATTAAATAATGTTATTCTTAATGATGAATGATTAAATTTTTCAAAAAAATTAATTATAGGAAAATAACCAAGTTCTGTAAAACTTGATCTATACATTTGATGCCATCTTTTTGACCAAAAATCTTTTGGATTTTGAGATAAAAATGGTTTATTAAATAATTGAGGTGTTTCAGTTAATAAAGAATATAAGTATAGAGTCATGTGAGTAATTGTTATGTTGTACGAGTGAATTGAAGGACGAGAATATGAATATGAATTCATATTAATAGGATCAAAATTCGAAGAATGAAAATGATGTATAATCCACAATAAGATAGTGGCAAAGACTTTAAATAAATGATACAAGTAATCCATATTTTGATATAAGAATCCACCATATAGATAACAATAAAATAACATAAAAGGACTTATTATAATAGAATTTTGTGATGGCGAATAAAAATAATCAAGAATTCGAAGAGCGTAAAGTCTTTCTGGTACCTCAGGACTAAAATATACTATAATATTTGTCCAAAGTTCATGTATTATTAATCTAGGAATAAAATTAACTATACTTAATAATAAAAGTGAGTTTACTTTTTGTGTATTTAATAATAATAATATTTGTGAAGTATTTTTTTGAATCTTTTGATTGTGACGACTTAATCTCCAACTGAATAAGGTCCACCAAAATGGTATAAATTTATATTTCTCAGTCTTTAAATCATTATTTCTACCGATAAATTTGTAGGTTTTTTTTAACCAAATCATCATTTTAAATAAAAACGTAAAAGTAAGCACTGGAATTGGTAAATGATTTATACAAGGATAATATGAACCAAATATTATGGGTAATGATGCGTATACTAAAGCTATTAAACATAGTTCTAAATATAAATATACGGAAGTTGGAGGCCGCAGCGAAAGAAGAGTAAATGATAAAAGAAGTGTTATTATTAGCGAAACGTATATATGAAATGATATTATGGGTTCAGCCATTATCAGTTACTAATTTTTAAATTCCTTTTTTTTTTTTTTTTTTTTTTTAGTAAATTTAAGTTTGTGCGAGGGAAAAAAAGAAAGAAA